GCCGGCCCGGCTGGCGCCTGCTCCGGCTGCCGGGTCTGGGTTGACGCTCCGGGGAGAAGCATCCGGCGCCTCCATCAGCTCCCGGAGTTTTGCTAGGAAAGTTTGGGCTCCTGGTAGGCCTTGCCTTGCTGTTGGAATCCCTCCGGGATGGCGTCGGTACCGGCACTGCCGGGGGCCCGTTTTATCCAATTCTGCCCCTTTAGCCCTCGCTTCCTAGGGACGCTCCAATTCGGTTCCGTCGTCACATTGATTACAAAGGGAAGATGATGCGTATAGATTTAATTAGGGCACGTATGCGAGCTGGGGGTACTTGGTAGGCCTTGCCTTGCTGTTGGAATCCCTCCGGGATGGCGTCGGTACCGGCACTGCCGGGGGCCCGTTTTATCCAATTCTGCCCCTTTAGCCCTCGCTTCCTAGGGACGCTCCAATTCGGTTCCGTCGTCACATTGATTACAAAGGGAAGATGATGCGTATAGATTTAATTAGGGCACGTATGCGAGCTGGGGGTACTTGAGCACGCTGGAATCGGCCTTTTTGTCCTTAGCCAGTGTTTAGAAATGAGAGGGGAAGCGAAAAGCGGGTGTCTGGCCACCGGGTCTCCCCACTCTGTGTTTCTGCACGCTGTAAGGAGAGAAGAACCAGCAGAAAAATCATCCTCTCCCTTTGGGTGAGAAATCTGTTTCGCGCTGGTGTTCAGCCATTCAGTGGTGTGAATTAGTTGATCCAAAAATGCTCCTTTCCCTCCTTTGGGTCTGTTAGGAGAGGAAAGCGGCTGTTTTCTATCAAGGCCTGTGTTTAAAGAAATAAAAACACTGTTCTCCTTATTTTTGATTCTTTTGGAGAATACGTTAAAATTGCGTTTTCCTGGGGGGAGCAAATCAGCCCCAATCCGTTACATGAAACAAATAAGCTTTGATCTGCTATATGAAAGCGGAGGTGTGCGAGTGTTTTCCTTAGCGATCCGCACGCAGGGCGGGCGCAGTCCGGGCGCTGCTTCCCCGTCGTTCCCCGGACTCCGCGCGCGGCGGAGTGCGGCGTTCCCGCCGCGCGGCATTCCCGCCCG